GTGGTTATTTGCCGAATATGAAGGCACACGGTTTTCAGTTCTTCACAGTGCTCGCTCGGTTTTGCATCTCCGATTTCTCGAGGCTGTGCATATAAAATTTCACCAGCCGAGCTTGTGTAGACAAAGAGCAGCATTTTATGCGTTCTTTACGTTTGATTGAGGGACTGTGAGCGTCTTTTTTTTCCATTTGGAACTTGTTTTATTAATTATTTACAATTAAAATTTATTTTATTTTAATCGCGTTACAACTTTCCCTTCTCTTTCGTTATTATTTTTGTGTCCTTGATTGTTTTTGCAATTCGCCAACGATCACCTTTGAAAAATTGTTGGTTAAAAGGATCCTTAGGTGTAAAATGACGTCTATTTTGTTCGAATATATACATATATATATATATATATATATATTTTGGTTGGATAGATGTGAGTATGTATATTTATATACACTTTTCACATATATTTCGCTCCCCCACGGGTTGAGCACTCGCGCTATTCTTTTTACGAAAATGGATAAATTTGACAGGAACGCTTTCTAATAAGTACCGCGCATATAATATATAAATAATTATACATGCTTATATTTATTTATATTTATATACACTTTTCACACACACACATATATATATATATATATATATATATATATATATATATATATATATATATATATATTGGGTGTCCATAAAGTTCGTGTGCACTTTAAAAATTAATAACTTTATTTGTATTTGCGACAGAAATAATTTGTAAAAAGGATTAGAAAGAAGTAAATCAATATTTTTTAAGGTTTTATTGCAATTTTATTTAAGTTTCCACATGTCCTCCATCATTAGCAATACAAAGGGTAATACGATTTTGCAGTTCACGGAAAATATTTCCAACTGATTTACAGTATTGCCTGAAATCGCATTAGTCACTTTTTAGCTTTACTTAAAACTAGGTACATTAAATTTTTACAGACTATTTTATCGCAAATACAAGTATAGTTATAAATTTTTTAATGTACACACGAACTTTATGGACACCCTGTGTGTATATATATATATATATATATATATATATATATATATATATATATATTTATTTATTTAAAAATATGATTCCAAATCGCGACATAAGAAGTCCCATGTTTCAAAACAAGAGCCGAAAACTTCAATATAATTATTTAAATTATTTAAATTAAATTGAGTTAAAATAAGCTCTGTTCCATCTTCAAGCGAAATTTTTTTTGTAATAACGTGTTTCTGAAATTTACGTGTTTTAAAAATTGAAATCAAAATTTCCATGGTAACTGCTAGGGCGAATTGTTTAAGTTGGGTAGGCGGGTGTTGGGTGTTAATAATAAGTATCAGTATAGAGTTACTTTCGTAGATGTCAAGTCAGTGAAAGGTGGGGATATATACATATATGTTACATAATAGGGAAATCCAAAATTACCTCATAAGAATAGCTATTTCAGACGTTACTACGTTGGCATTAATTAATATGCTCTGTTATAATAAATACATTGAGCTCTTTTGGTGGATCAGTTTTAATATTTTATATTATTAGGATTCACTTCGTTTATACACACACACTCACACACACACACACATACATATATATATATATATATATATATATATATATATATATATATATATATATATATATACAATGTTATGGGCACGAGTAGTTAGAACATTCCCTTTCAAACCATAAGATCTGGGTTCGAATCTTACCATGGTTGATTTATCAAGAAAGATACTGATGTTATCGGTCCGGAGGGGGGCGATCCCAGCGTGTGGCACCTTGTGTGTGAAATTGTGTAGACGGTACTCTTGGGTCCTTTGATAACTGTGCAAGCACGAAGTCATAAATCACCGTGACCGATAATTTGAGCGCACTGGCCTTGTTCAGATTGTTGATCACGCTAAATAACTCGCTCTCTCCCAGCAACTAAGGTCTGCTCAGCATAGTTGCAGGTGGGCTCTGTCGGTGTTGAACAAATACAAATATGCCTGAGCTAGAGTCTGCAATAGGGATTGGCTAGACGGGTATCTTTTAATACGAGTGACCATCTATTATTATGTAATGGTATGAACAGTACATAGCTGTTTTAAAATACAGGGTTATTCAAAAAGAACGAACCGATTTCATTACCTACCCTGTACCTGTAACGGCATCCACCCGGGGTGGGTTGAGCCGGCTCCAATATTGGAGTTTCATGGGAATTTGGAATTCACAAGCGGTCCCCAACCCTCATGTATAGCACATGAAATTTGATTATAGTGCTGAATATTTCGTGCAGGACCATCCACACTTTTTGAAGGGCCGATTACAGAGACCTGGTGCACTACGTGCCACGAGGACCTCAAACGACCCTCCGCAGGTTTTGAATTCAGAGTTGTCCTTCTCCTAGACCAGTCAAATCCATTACATTCACTTACGTGCTAACGGTGTGAATCCTCTTCTTCTCCCTCCAGCTATGGGTAAATAGCAGGACAGAAAGGATTTCATTACGCAATATTTTAATAAGGAAAAGCAATAGAAAACTCCAGCTAAATCCTAAGTATTCTATTCACAATCAACTTTTATTTCCTGCCTTACATGTGTTCAATGTGGCCAACACCTGCAGCACGGGCAACATCAATGCGATAAAAGAATTCCTCCCAGACGTGTATCAGCATATCACGATTCAGTGAGTTGATCGCTGCTGTTATTCGATGTTTAAGGTCATCGAGGTTAGTGGGTAGCGGTGGAACATAAACGTGAACTTTTACATATCCCCACAAGAAGAAAAAATCACACACAATGAGATCTGGGGGTTTCGTAGGTCAAGCACAAAGATCAAGGTCTTGGTAGGTGCCTGAACGAGGCGTAGTCTGTAAGGTTTCAAATGTAGACGTCTTCTTACCACACGCCATTGAGTGAATTGAGAGATCGCAAGCTCACGGCGAGCTCGATTTGTGGATTTCCGTGGGCTCCCCTCAAACGCAGCACGGATTCTCGTCACTTGTTCCCCTTGAAACACGTGGTCGTCCTGTCCTGGACTTTTTTTCCTTTACGCAGACACCCACTCTCTTGGAACTGTTTAAACCACTGTCGAATGTTCTTAGGAGAAGGCGAATTAATGTCGAATTGCTTTCAAAAAGCAAGCTGCACCGTGACAACCATATTTGTTCTCGAGAACGCAGACCGCCTTTTGACGAGGATTCGCCATTCCGGGGGTAAACAAACAACTGAACGTTACCGGAGCTACGACGCGACTACAACGCCCCTGTGGCAGCCATTCAAAACTCTTCATTCAAATGGCCACTGACTCATTCCATGTCGACTCCTGTGTTCTTCAGAATGGAAGCAATGCGTCATGAAATCGGTTAATTCCTTTTGAATAACTCTGTATATTTTTAAATTATCTTGAATATTAAAATCATAATATATTTCGTTTTTGAAAAATAACCAACGATAAATGAAACTACTCGAACAGATACGTACGCCTAATTTTGCTCATATTGGAACCAAAAATATATTAATTTCTCCAAGAAGAGAATATTGCCTGAGTTCTTTAATAAAATCGGTTCAAATTTTCTCGATCGTTATTTACCCTATGTGAGGAGGATAAAAAAAACAAAATCTGTTCATTGTCTTTGAAAATTGCAAAGATGCGAGAATTTAAGCAAAATTGTTTAGTGGGTACGTTTTGCGCAGTCGCATTCGATACTTCCTGTAGAGACACAATTTCATGAATATACGAAAGTGGAGATCTCGTGTCCCCAGCCTCGGGTCCCAGTTTCGTTGGTAAGATAGGAAAAGAGATTTTTAAAAAAAAAATAGAGGACAAAAAGTGGACACGAAGAAAAAGAAGTAAAAAAAAACAAAAAAAAACGCATGTGCAGAAAACAAGAATAAATATAATGAGAGAAAACAGGAAAATGAAAAGAAAGAAAGAAAGAAAGAAAGAAAGAAAGAAAGAAAGAAAGAAAGAAAGAAAGAAAGAGATATGGGAAAGAAAGAGGAAAAGAATAAATGAACAAAAATAGACAAAAAAAGAAGACGAAGAAGAATTTGTCCGGAAGACAAACAACAACAAGGTCACCACTATCTTGTGGAATTTCAGCGTTCAGACTGATGGAAAAATCGAATGTGGCAAAATCATGCTGAAAAAAACATGTCCCCTGATAGATGCTGCCGGCCCAGTCGACAAAGACTCATGCTTGAAAACGTTTGAGAAACAAAGCAAATAAAAAGGTGACATCAACAATATTGCCTGCTGTTATTGGGGCTTCGGGATTGATATTAAAAGATGCAAACAAAAGTGTGCAGAATAAATTGTTGGCAGTCCCAAAGCATGTGAATTGAAAAAAAGAAAATCACACACCTGTCATTTTACATAGATTTTTTTCTCCATACATTGACCACAGTTACATTTTTTCTGATTGCATCGTACCACATGTGTTTGCATTTTCTGACACAAAAGCTTGTTGCATCTTAAAGTCTCTTAATACTTGGGGGTGTCTGGTAATATCCAAAACAAGGGTTGCTGCTGCTAATAATAATAATAATAATAATAATTATTATTATTATTATTATTATTATTATTGTTGTTGTTGTTATTATTATTTCAAATACATCGGTTTCATGCTTTGGCACACATCATCAGTGATGTCTTTAGATAGATATCAACAGAGATAGATAGATAGATAGATAGATAGATAGATAGATAGATATACATGATGAGAAACATAGATATGATCAGGAAGGCATAGATAGATAAATAGATAGATAGATAGATATACATGATGAGAAACATAGATATGATCAGGAAGGCATAGATAGATAGATAGATAGATATACATGATGAGAAACATAGATATGATCAGGAAGGCATAGATAGATAGATAGATAGATAGATAGATAGATAGATATACATGATGAGAAACATAGATATGATCAGGAAGGCATAGATAGATAGATAGATAGATAGATAGATAGATAGATAGATAGATAGATAGATCAACAGACATATAGATAGATAGATAGATAGAGATGAACACATACACACATACGAATCATTAGGGTTCAGAGTCTTGTTGTAACCTATAAAAGGTTACTGAATGAGAAATGACCAAAACGGAGGTAGGAAATGAAATGGTAATCTTTATAACATCAACAAAATACAATACTCGCCAGCGGCGTGAAGTAGGTAAACCACTTCTAGTGGTGAACTACACAGACAGATTATTAACCTCATTTACAATAGTATCCAATGTATTTATGAGGATTGGGACATACCCATTAGTCTTCATAGGTATGGTATATAACAGGTCTTACAATAACATATTGATCAGTTATCGATTTGTGTGCCATGAGTCAGCTCATATTGTAATGCTCCACTAACCCACTACGACAACTCACGAGCAATTTCCGGTGGTTCACAAGCTTCTTCTGTTATATATATATATATATATATATATATATATATATATATATATATATATATATAAAAACAGGACTGGTGGCACAAACAGTTTATCCCCTTTCAAGGTAACCCAGACCCTCGCTGAATAATGCACTTTTCCATCCTTCTCTGCCTCGCCTCTATGCACTGCTGGGAGGGTTATTTTGAGTGCCTCTCAGCTCCGTCGTTACGGCCCTTTTGATGGACTCCACCCCTTCAAAACTTGAGCTTAGGGAAAAGATAAAAGTCACACAGAACGGGAAGGTTGTTGCAGTACCGCGATGTTCTTCTCGGCCAGGAATTGTCGGATGTTCAGGGCGTTGTGAGCAAGTGCATTGTCGTGGTAAAGCAGCCACGATTTTTCCTGCCACAACTCTCGTCTCTTTTCGCGCACCAGGAAAGCAAATGACGCTGGATCACTTTGTAGATTTGCTGATTGATCGTCAGACCCTGTTGAAAGATCTCACTGTGGACGATGCTTCTCATATTGAAGAACAGATAAGTCCTGTTACTTTCCAGATTGACCTCGTATATATATATATATATATATATATATATATATATATATATATATATATATATATAAAAAGGATTAAACACTAATATTCCATGGTAAGCCTTTTATTATATCCTTACTCTGTCCTGGACATTGAGTTCTATCTGGATTCTTCCTCTTGGAATTTTTATTCAAAAATATACATGTATGGGTATTTATATATATTTTGCATATGTATGTATATTTACCACTATTATATATATATATATATATATATATATATATATATATATATATATATATATATATATATATATATATATATATATATATATATATATATATATATATATATATATATATATATAATTACCTAGGTTTCACCCTAAACGGATCGTCAGGGAAAGTTTGGCCAAACTTTCCCTGACGATCCGTTTAGGTGAAACCTAGGTAGGTTTGTCTGGCTCACTAGGTGTATCTAGGTCTGCTCTACGGTTGTATTGAGCTCTTTTGTTAGTTAGTTGTTACTCGTATCAGGGTTTTTTCTTTGGGCTTCAGACCTGCATCTGTGCGATTTTTTGTCGGCAGTTCATGTTTGTAGCTCTTTCTTTTTTAAAACTTTTTTCCCTCGAGATTGATTTGATTAGCAAATCAAAAATTCGAGGTTTTTTTCGAAACGAGTCTAGTTATCTATATTTATATATATATATATATATATATATATATATATATATATATATATATATATACGGAGAATAGAATAGAATAGAATAGTAATATCCATTAAACATTTTGGAGCATTTCTCCTGGTCTCAAATACTTTGATTCGAGAATTGTATTGAAACTTGCCAAAATTGTATTATGATCTGATTACTTTTAACCATCTCACATCTTAATCATCTCATGTTTTAGTCACTTCATATTATTCATATATAAATTATTTTATTTAATACATCAGTTTGATGATTTGGCACACATCATTAGTAAAGTTTTTAGCTACGGATCATTAGGGAGTTTCTGGTCTTACATAGCAATCCAGTCGATACTGATCGGATAATAATTTATGTATCAACCATCAGCTATAATTACTCTCATAGTGTAAGGCTCTCCTGACCCACTGCAATTCCTCAGGTCATTATATCCCAATCACGAGAAACTTCCGTAATAAATAATAATAATAATAATAGACTCATTGAAAGGATTCCTGGTAGGCCATACCTTAAAAAAATAGAAAAAAAATTGTACTCACAATTACAGCTCACACATTACGAAGAGATTTATTTATGTAAAATATTTGTGATTTTGGGGATTTTTTTTTTTTTTTTTTGAGAGGGGTACAAAAATGATCAGTGGAAAATGCGATGAAGCCATTTGTGACCAGGACAGAAATACATGGAAATAAAAAAAAATAATAATTTTTAATGCTAATTTCGGTCTGAATTTCTTGGATGAAGAGTTAATATTTACCTGATTTACATTTGAATTAATGTTTTTGCTCTTTTATTATTGCAACGTTTTCGGACTTTCATGATGAGTCTATCGTTTCGAGTATCCTTCATGGAATTTCGAACTCAACTCTTTAATCTACGAATAATATAAATTGTTCATGCCTAAGGAATCTTGCCATTTTAGTACTTGTATTACTAGTACAGTTATTGCTAGTCTGGTTTCAGCTGACGCTGAATCTATACAATCAGACCCAAGGACTGAACTCTAAATTACTCTTTTAAGCCAATTATTGAAGTCTATGAAGACATGCTACCAAAGTCTTCTATCAAAAGTGTATTTACTCATATATAAGATAGTGTCATCAGATTTTATATATATATATATATATATATATATATATATATAAGGGAGAGATTATAGTTGTTCCAACGAGGGAAATGTGTACATTTTAAAAAGAAAAGAGAAGCCACAAATATCTTTGGTTGAATTATTGAAATTTTTTAATATATTTTACTTTATTTTCCATATTTTTACTACACGGGTTTCGGGTGTTGTAACCTTCATCAGGCGAAAAATGATTTCCACATATTATTTAAAGGATCTAATTTTTTTCTTATGTTTAACCATTGTATTTTGTGTGTGGTAGTAATCCAAATTCTTCTTGGACTGGCGGAAATAGATTCCTTCGGTTAAGGGGTTTCAAAAGGATTAGGATTTGTCATAGAAAGGGGAAAGAATGAGGTTTTTGTTATTATCTTTTTATCTCCTCCATATCTTTTTAAACTTTTCATCATTTTTGTGTATTTTGTGTGTAGTTGTGCTTATGCTAGTATGTGTATATACCGTCTCCTTCTCCACACATATATATTATAAGGAAATAGTATATATACATACACACTTTTCATGGTCTTTAGGGTTAGTGTGTATGTGTGTTTGTGTGTGTGTGTGTGGTCCATCTAGTGTATTTGTCTATAAAAATATACGTAAATTCGAAAACAAATGATTAGAAATCATAATAAATGCAGACACGAATGCAAATTCCTTCTACGCTACCTACAAACCGTGTCACAACTGATAATACTAAATAAACCAAAATTTAATCAATTTTTGTTTCAAATATCAAACGAGAGGACCGAAGAAAGTATACAAAGAATAAATAAGCAAAATAAATCAATAAACTACTTCATGAAATGTACATTCAAAAGTAAGGTAATTTCCATACAACATGTTTATTTCCCCTGATGAAGAGCAAAGCATATGTCACTTTTAGACATGGTCTCCTCTTGAGCGGCGATGCACTTCCGGTATCGTTCAACGAGATTCTCCATCCCTTCAGGAAAGAAGCTTTTCGGTTGTTCACGAAACCACGTGTGCCCCGGTTTCTAGTTTGGGCACCCAAACTTTACGGTAGCCAGAGTCATCATGCACTATAGCTTGTGCAGACCTATAGCTGAGGCCTACGATTACTACCACTTGTGCCGAAGTGATTCGACGGTCTTCCCTGATCAAGGCATCCGCACTCTGGATGTGTTCTTCCGTGGTCGATGTAAATGGGCAGCTAGATCGACCATGGTCCGTTAAACGTGTTTACTCTAGCTTTAAAGCGTCACACCCACCTTTCATTGATTCCCGGTGCGTGATCCATACTGCACCAACATCTGGCGAGCAATTTCACTCACACTACCCACAGAAAGCACACTACGACATTGGTGCAATCGCTGAGTGGAGCGTCCCTACGTCTGACCTCGTTGCTTCCTGCCATTCCAATGAACGGTGGAAACTACACACGGCAAACTACCCGTTATCTTATGCTCACCCAGGGCGTTACGAGACAGCGCCCCACTCCGTGTGGTCTTTTTACCGCGTAATTTCTAAATTGTATATAATTCCTAATTTAACCTCGTATAACGTTCTTGAATTTGAAATTTAATAATGGTGGTACCTTGAAAAGTACTATTTCACCTATAGTGAAATATTGTGTTAGTCCAAAATGCAGATTCTGTGATAAATATTCATAAGCAATTGACTATCTTTTATCAGGTTTCGCAGTATTGGGACCCACTCGATGGGTTTATTGGACATCGTATATTTGTTCTCGAGCATCACATTGTGTTGCTTTCTCATGTACAAAGGCAAATGTAATCGACCAGATACTGAAACGAAGGCGGGATAAAGCTCTTCACTGTCAATATTCAGCCCATACCAAACAAGATGATGTATCCAAGCTCCATAACCCATCAGTGGCTAAGTAGTGCATGGTTAAAAGCTGAAACCGAAGGTTTTTTTCTTGCTTCACGGGACCAATGCATGCTTACCAGAAATTATTTAAGCACACATACTGAAAAATTGTTTTAGCTCAAAATGTAGGTTCTGTGATAGATATTAATAAACAATTGACCATCTTGTATCAGGTTGCGCGGTACTGGCACCCATTGAATATAAAACTCGGCATGACAGAGTAGTCCAATATCTGAACTGGAAAAATTGCAACGTTTACGGAAAGTAAACTGCAAGAAATTGGTATGAACACCACCCAGACCCCGTTATGAAGATAGGACGTGTAATAATTTTAAGGGACTTCACAATACACACAGACAGAACACTCAAAGTTAATCGTCCAG